AAATAGAAGAGAGTTCATAATCATAACAGTAATTCTAATCAAATACAGATCTAACTTGGTTTGATGTTTTTGGTCCACTAAATTAGCTTTTTTAAATCGTTATCTCCTTACTTTGGTTTGTAAAACTCATTTCTTGCTTATCTGAAAACCTACCTCATTCAATATAAATCTCTCTCTCTCTCTCTCTCTCTCTCTCTCTCTATATATATATATATATATATATATATATATATATATATATATATATATATATATAGGGTACAACCTGGAAAGGTCGCCAGTCCATCGCAGGGCAACACAGAGACACACAGGACTAGCAACCATTCATGCACACGCTCACACCGCAATATATATATATATATATATATATATATATATATATATATTCTTTTTTTTTTTTTTTTTTACAGAAGTTCAAAGTTGAATAAAATCAACACTTTTTTTGTGGACATAACAGCAGCATTTAGAACATTTTTACATTTCTTCCAAATGAACAGCTTTCCAATTTTGCCTTGCTTGGAGTCTTTCTTGTTACATTGTTCATATGCTCAGACTTTCTGTTTTTAACCCTTAATGCACTGTGATATACAGAGCTAATAAAGTCACATTGAATCTTGCAATAACAAGGCACTTATTTACACAAACCTGGACGATGTCCTGTTGAGCTGTAGTTGCAGTTGCTGGCACAACAATTTTTGTGGGAGTTACAGCATCTGACATAGATGATGACATAAACAAAATGAATAAGTCATCAGTCAACAAACAGTGCTGGAACATGGTCCCTTTCTTGCCAGAAAAATGTTCTGCCAAGGCTAGCAGCTGTTTTCTCTAACAAAATAGGAGTAAATCGAAGGATGAGGATGAAACCTGTAATTCTACAATGATTCTGCCTACTTGCACACACCAGGCTTTTTCATTTAAAACTTTTTTGTATTTGGCCAATCTTGATAAAGAATTGACTGATAAAATTAGTTTATTTGATCTTCTTTTGGGTGTGCCAAACATGTCTGATAAAGTCTAAGGGATTTGAAACTTCTTAAGTTTATGTATATTTTATGTTATCTGAAATTTCTTCTGATATAATCACACATTTTACTGTGTTCAGGGCTCTTTTTTTAGAAGTGGCAGCTTTCTCTTTGCAGTGCTGACATGTGCTCCATTTTGCAAGATATCAAACAAAAAGTTTAATGCTTTTTAATGAAGCAATTGCCTAATATGCTAGGACATAAGGGGAGATTCTAAAAAGATTATTTAGTGTGATTCTAACAGAAGAATCATATTTGCATGTAACTCTGCTGATTAAATGCTCAGTCAGATGTAGGTCTAAACTTTGTGTCATTCTAGCAACTTGTTCTAGGACATGAAACTGCTTTCACATAAATTATTCCATTGTAGCTCTGGCTGTATCTCCCCTTCTCCCCTCTTCTTTTGAAGAAATATGCTGAGTTTTAACATTCACAAATACAAACATGTGACCCATATATGCACAGGAGAAAATTACTATGTATGTACAGCAATGTTGACATCTTAATAGTCTGAGCATCACTGCCCCGCGTGCACTATAAAAGTCTTGTGCAGTTTTACCATAAGATTTTAAATATATTACATAACTAGAACTGGGAGTTATAGTTAATTAATATGTCTTTCAAATCAAGGGTAAAATGAATGAATGACCTTAAAACTCTGGATGTTGTCGGGCTTTTGTAACAGACACATAGGGAGGTCAGGGATAGTCCAACTAGACATGTAGACTGGGGTAGTGGTTAATTTTCATAAGGGGGGGGGCACTTCTCTGCCTCCCTGGGAAGGCCTATGCCAGGGTGCTGGAGAAGGGAGTCCAGCTGATTTTCAAACCTCAGCTTTAGGAGGAGCAGTGTTATTTTTGCCCTGGTTGTGGAACAGTAAACCAGCTCTACACTCTCTGCAGGGTGCTTGAGAGTTTATGGGAGTTTGCCCAATCCCCATGTGTTTTTGTGAACCTGAAAAAGGCATTTTACTATGTCCCTCATGGTTCTCTGTGGCAGGAGCTTCAGGCATGCGGAATCAGGGGACAATTCTCTTCACAAGCAGAGCAGGAGCTTGGTCTAAATTGCCGGCATTAAGTTAGACCTGTCCAAGCTGCAGGGTCCTTCTTGCCAAAACCTACAGCAAGTTATTGGCGGTTCGCAGCCAAGTGTAAAGCAGCATGAATGAGAATCAGCTCCATCAAAGTCGAGGTCATGGTTCTGAACCGGAAAAGGTTGGCCTCCCTCCTTCAGGTTGGAGGAAAGTTCCTGCCTCAATTGGAGGAGTTAAAGTATCTTGGGGTCTTGTTCACAAATGAGGGGAGAATGGAGAGGAAGATCTATAGACAGATCGCTGCGGCTGCTGCTATAATCCTGACGCTGCACCAATCTGTTGTGGTGAAGAGTCTTTAAGGAAAAGGCAAAGCTCTTGGTTTGCTGGTCGGTCTACATTCCTACCCTCACCTAAGGTCATGAAAAGTGGACCATCACCAAAAGAACAATATCCTAGATAAAAGCAGCTGAAATTGGCTTTCTCCATGGGGTGGCTGAGTTCTCCCTTACAGATAGGATGAGGAGCTCGGTCATTCGGGAGAGGCTACTTCTCCACATAAAGAGGATGTGGAGGAGAAGCAAGTGGTTTAGCAAGTAGAGCCTCTGCTCATGTTGTCTCCATTTATTTTGCTCACGACTTTCTGTATTGTAATATTTTAACATTTTTCTAAAATAGTCCTCAAAGTACAGCCATTGCCTCTTCCTCATTGACCATGTTAATTTACTGTGAAATAACTTCTGATCTTGAGTGTTTGAAAGATTTCCAGTCTGACATTTGAATTTTCTTATTTGTAATCTGTCTGTGTGTGGTGCTTGCCATGTAATTGTACACTACATACTGTAAGACCAAGCCTGTTATTTATTGTCATGTATTGGGTCTGTAGTAATGTACTAATGTTAACTAGGCATTAGAATTACTTCAACTGATGATATGAAGATATATGAAGGTATCTAGGGGTGTAACAACAAATCAATCCACATCGATTTATGAATTAAAACATTTCTGATGTAAAAACATTGATGCAATATCTAGATATTAATACACATCATAATTTTTATTGTGTCAGAATGTCGACTGTTGATCTGTTTTATTATGCTGTATTTGATGATTATGATCAAAATCGTACAAGACAAACATTGTGATATCAAGAAACATTGCATGATCATTAAAAAGAATCAAGACAAACCTATATTGTTACAAAGATAGTTATTTACTCTTCTACTGATGATGCTTCTTAAAACAACAAGGTGCAATTAGCATTATTTAGAAGGAAATAATATTTTTGGAATTTAAGTCAAAGAGGAGATAAAAAATAATAAGTTTTTACTTTTGACAAAAAAGTGATGCAGTTAAAATGTAAAGCCAGATGTATTAAAATTCTCCTGGGCAACACATTATCTGCCACTATCTAGAGATTTTCCATTTACTCCCATTAAATTTTATGGCCTTACCCAGATTGTAACCATTACCAGTGCACACTTAACCCTAAACCTAACCTACCCAACTTAAGACTTTTTCTCATCGGAGTAAGTTGACTGGTCCCCATAAGTACCTGTAAGTCGGCCCAGGTGGAATATTCCTTGGAATAGTAAACAGACCCCAATGTGAGGTTTTTATACCCTCTGATGTTGGCTAAGAACAGCGAGTTTCTAATAGAGCACTCACAGTTTTGATATACCCTCCGTAGGCTGTTTACCAAGACAAGCAGAGAGAAAATATAATATGATGAGCAGCTGACCTTTTTGATCTGGAAACAGTATTTTTTCCAGTCCATGTAATTGCATTACTGTTCATTTTCCGGTCAAGTGACTTTATGAAGATAGAATCAAGAGGAAGACAGCAGAATAGCACTAATATACATGTCGCAACTCACATACATTATGCAGACCTAGTAAGACAGCCTTACAAAATATTTCTTGAGGCCATCTACAACAGAAGACAGTAAAACAAATATTTTTTTGTTGTTCCATTATACAAGCTTTTATACCCGGTTAAATTGTCATATCCCTTCCACAGGATGTCCCCCTTACTGCCACAGTAAGGTTTCTGTCCACCATGACAACTGTTTATATGACAGGCTTCACACTCCTGAGAGTTTGAGAACAGATGTATGTATTTTTCAGTTGTGTTTCTTTTTTTTTTGTGATCTGTCAACAGGTCTACCATTTCTTTACTAAACCCGAACATTTTAAGGAAGGTGTTAAGATGAGATCAGTTTTTTTTTTTTTTTTTTTTTCGCACCTATGAAGCCTAACCTTTCACATGATCATAAAAACATTTTTCCCAAAATGAAATATGGCTGTAGCCAACTGGCCCCTGATTCTATGGAACTGCTCTCAGCGCGCACTCAAATTCTTTTGGGAGCATTTGCTTTAAAATGTTGCCTTAAAAGGTATTGACTAAGGTATGCGAAAGAAAAGTACCTACCGGTATCACTTTTTTATGAATCTCTTCCCTTCCTCATAATAATTACACACATTTTTATGTTTGTCTATCAAATGATATTATAAGAAATACTACATTATAGTTTGTGTTTCTAATAAGAAAACATAAAAAAATGAAAAGGTGAGTACCTTTTAAGTGATGCTCTTGATCTAAACTGACAAATTTTCTTTATTTTATTGAGTAGACTTATTTAGTAATTTACTGAAAACATAACCTGTAGGACACAAATAGCCATATCTTATACAGTAGGTATAGCTTCATCCACTTTCCATTGTGGCAGAAAAGAGAAACACAAAATCACTGACTGATAAACCAATGGAACCTATTTTTTAGGGTTAAACAAAACGAATGAGTGAGTTGGTTGATCTTTTTTTTTTCTTTTCTTATCTTCAGAGTGCTTTATTAAATTGTAACACTCGTGCATGCACAAAGACACTCAGGTGAAACCAAGTAAATCCTCTGACCCAGATTTCTTCTCTCTCCTTCTCTGTCCACAGCCGTCACCCTGTGAATGGTGCCGCTGCGAACCAAATAACGAGGTACACTGTGTGGTGTCTGACTGTGCTGTCCCAGAGTGTGTCAACCCTGTTTATGAGCCAGAGCAGTGCTGCCCCATCTGTAAAAATGGTAAAATAATATTTTGACATCCTCCCTTGAATTTTTCTAATATGTGGTTTCTTTAAAGTGAATTTCATTAAACTAGTGAGAGTATGTTTATCAACAGTGTGTACAATTTTTTTTGTACCTTTACATGTTGAGGAGTATTTGATGTTTTATGTATTCAAATTATTACCTTTGGCCCACAAGACACTAATGAGCAGTACTAGTTTTAATTATAAATGACACAATAAGCAGAGTAAACATTAGTCTATTGATTAAAGGCATGGTGCGAAGGACTAATGGGTCCTTGGAGAGCTTTTTATCTCCAAGCACCCAGGTGCCCTTGTCACATACAGCCAATCCTTAAATTAGAATTATAGGAATCCAATGTTTCATTGACTATTTCCAAGGCAAGGTGGGTGGCTTCCCTTTGCTAGTTCTAATTCTTGAGAGACAGATGGATCTTTATGACTAAAGTCAAGCTGCTGAAATTATCACAAGCAAAGAGCACTTTGGGTATTAGCATATTCATAGCCTTAACACAATGGTGCATTTATAATAAGTATGAATTAGGAACTAAAATTTAACCAGGTGGCATATAAACATTTGTACACAAAATCCAATGTGTCTTTAGCAACTGACCCATATTTTCTCAAATCTGTCTTTATGTCCATAGTATATCTGGTGTTAATCCAAGACATCTTTGCTCACACAACAACGCCTTCTGTAACAAAGCTGCCGAAGCTGCTTGAGGAGATCTAATCCAGCCTGACAGGGTACAATGACACCCTTGGCATTTCAGGGAGTGCCTGCTGTTTGCAGGTGCCCCAAGGGTGTTTGGTCAGATTCTGGTTTACAGATAAATCTGTATGAGAGTGGAAAGCTAAGGAACGTGAAGAAAGGACAAAGGGGGTGGGTGGGGGGGCTGGAGAGCTCTTACTTTTGTGCAGAATAAGTAGGAAAGAACATGCTCTAGCATGCCTGAGTCAAACATTTTAACAGTGTGAGACATGCTTTTTTTAAATCATTACACTACTGTAGAAAAGAACTCAGTGAGCACTGATTTAAAGTGGAGCAAGATGTTCCTTTTTTGTGATTCTAAGCAATAATTCAGCACCCTTCATTTAGAGGATTTCTCCAATCTATTGTCAGGCAAGTCTTTCTATCTTATACCCCCTTTTTCATAAAAGTGTTTTCCAAAAAATTATTTGGATTTTTAGAGAGGTTTTTTTTTAACTACTTGGTTAGGTCACAAACACCTTTAATACATTCTAGTAATTTTGCTTCTATAAACAAAAAATAACAAAACAATGAGTACCTCCATAATTTAGCTCATTAATTTGAAAATGTTAAAACAAGCTTTGGGCCCAGTGGTCATTCTGTAAAGCAAGAACGCAAATACTAAGAATGGAAATGTGTATGTTTTTAATTAAATAAAAAAAAATATATATAAATCAGTTAAGGAAAGTTTTCTTAACAAGCAGCTTATCAAAAAGATTAAAGCAAATATTACACCACAAAAATCGACTTTCAAAGCTATAGCCTGAGATGCATGTCCCTCTGCATGAACTCCCCTACCATGCCTGACACTTGGCATTTTAGCTAGTAAAAATGAAAGCAACATTAACTTTTATAGCAATTCTGCAAAGAATTCAGTGTTAGAAAAAAAATGCAATAAAAACATCAACACGAGAAAGGTGTTACACACACAAGAAGTGAGTTAATTTCTTTTTTATTATTTTTCTTGAGGTGGTAAAAAAATAGCCATATACTAATGTAGAAAAAAAGAAAGCCCTATAGTTCACATATCCGAATGTTAGCTTCGAAATGATCCTTCCTTAAGATAATATTGTCAGGTTTTGAATTTGTGAACAGAGTAAAGATAGACCTCAGGATGCATCATGGAGTCTGTCGATATTTCAATAAAGTAGAGAGCACACTTGGAAAACGGGGTTTTTATACAAGGAACAAAGTGAAGAATATATCACATTAAGTACCACATATGAAAGTGGGATCAGGCTGTTCAAACTGCCGAAAAAAAGTTGAATAAGAGATGTATATGGGTAAAGAGATTAGATTTGCTTTCAGTGTGAACCTTGCCATAGAGCAACTTCCTATTAATACAGAAATAATCAGCTTGAAAAGGTAAAGACAAAATATACTAAAAACACTAAGAGTAATAAACTAGAAAAAAAAAGCAGAGCAAATATAACTAATACAGCAAACCCTGATGGCAAAAATAACGGAATATGGCAAGACTGGAAACACCAACTCAAAACTACAGATAAAGCAGATGATATACGTGTGGTGTATTATTGCTGGCCGCTCCCTCAAATTTTCTGTGTGGCCTCTAGGGGAATCTAAAAAATATGTTCAAGCCACCTCAGATGACTCCTGTCAATGCCTCTCCTGAATGAACATGCTCCTTAACCTATGTCTAATGTCTAAGGGAGTGCCCAGCCACCTTGCAGAGAAAGCCAATTTCAGACACTTGTATCCAGCATCCCCTTCGTTCGGTCATGATAAAGATTCCATAACCATGGGTGAGGGTGGGATCATATACCAATATACACTATATTGCCAAAAGTATTTGCTCACCCATCCAAATTATTGGAATCAGGTGTTCCAATCACTTCCATGGCCACAGGTGTATAAATTCAAGCACCTAGGCATGCAGACTGTTTTTACAAACATTTGTGAAAGAATGGGTCGCTCTCAGGAGCTCAGTGAATTCCAGCGTGGAACTGTGATAGGATGCCACCTGTGCAACAAATCCAGTCGTGAAATTTCCTCGCTCCTAAATATTCCACAGTCAACTGTCAGCTGTATTATAAGAAAATGGAAGTGTTTGGGAACGACAGCAACTCAGCCACGAAGTGGTAGGCCACGTAAACTGACGGAGCGGGGTCAGCGGATGCTGACGCGCATAGTGCGAAGAGGTCGCCAACTTTCTGCAGAGTCAATCACTACAGACCTCCAAACTTCATGTGGCCTTCAGATTAGCTCAAGAACAGTGCGCAGAGAGCTTCATGGAATGGGTTTCCATGGTCGAGCAGCTGCATCCAAGCCATACATCACCAAGTGCAATGCAAAGCGTCGGATGCGGTGGTGTAAAGCACGCCGCCACTGGACTCTAGAGCAGTGGAGACGCGTTCTCTGGAGTGACGAATCGCGCTTCTCCATCTGGCAATCTGATGGACGGGTCTGGGTTTGGCGGTTGCCAGGAGAACGGTACTTGTCTGACTGCATTGTGCCAAGTGTAAAGTTTGGTGGAGGGGGGATTATGGTGTGGGGTTGTTTTTCAGGAGCTGGGCTTGGCCCCTTAGTTCCAGTGAAACAAACTCTGAAAGCTTCAGCATACCAAGACATTTTGGACAATTCCATGCTCCCAACTTTGTGGGAACAGTTTGGAGCTGGCCCCTTCCTCTTCCAACATGACTGTGCACCAGTGCACAAAGCAAGGTCCATAAAGACATGGATGACAGAGTCTGGTGTGGATGAACTTGACTGGCCTGCACAGAGTCCTGACCTCAACCCGATAGAACACCTTTGGGATGAATTAGAGCGGAGACTGAGAGCCAGGCCTTCTCGTCCAACATCAGTGTGCAACCTCACAAATGCGCTTCTGGAAGAATGGTCAAAAATTCCCATAAACACACTCCTAAACCTTGTGGACAGCCTTCCCAGAAGAGTTGAAGCTGTTCTAGCTGCAAAGGGTGGACCGATGTCATATTGAACCCTATGGATTAGGAACGGGATGTCACTTAAGCTCATATGTGAGTCAAGGCAGGTGAGCAAATACTTTTGGCAATATAGTGTATATTAATTGCTAAGCCTTTTCACTCTGCCCTTTTTATCGCAACAGACCAGTGCATCATCCGCATTAAAGTGGTGGCTTCAGCCAATCCATCTATTGATCCCACACTCCTTTCTCCCCTCACTAATGAACAGGACCCCAAGATACCTGAAGTCCTCCACTTGAGGCAGGAACTCTCGTCCAACCTGAAAGGGAGAAGCCAGGGAATTGGGGGCTCTGAGTTTCATCCATGCCACCTTGGACTCAGTGATGAAACTGAGTCGCTTGACTACTTACAGCTGGCTTAATGTAACTTTACTTGTGGAGCCTGGCTTACTTTAAATTAATAAGGACACTTAAGACATGGCGCCAGCAGTCACCCTAATAAGTGCTATCCAAATATTGCTGGCAGTAAGGAAGGAGCTAGGACGACAGAGTAGTATGCTTTTTCAAGCACCAGTGTAGTTAGTATAGGGAGGCTGTAGTCCCAATTTGATGAGCATCAATCATTTTTGTTTCCGTTTCGTAATAATGTAATGATGCTGTATTTAGCAAAGCAGTCTGGAGGATCTTTCCTACATTGGCTAATGTTCTTATTGTTGACCGCACTAAAAGTGATGGCCTAGGAGCTAGGAACAGGGGGTATGAGCTATTTCGAGTATTTGGATCAAGCCTTTGTGAAACAGTTGAAGCCAGAATGAGCTTCTCACGCTAGGTCAAGCCTGTATTTATCTTTTACCCTGGAATTTCTGAATTCATCATTTGTTAAATTGGCGTTTGAGATGAAGACACAGAACAACAACAAAAAAAAACAAAAAAAAGAAAAAAACAACTAAATGTAATAGCAAGCCATATTTATATATCACAAAATTCAAAATTTAAAAATATTATGCAGGATAAAAGAAAAATGGATATCGAACATGCCTTTAGAGAGAGAAGGACAGAAGCATGGCAGATGGGACAATTATATAGGTGTGAAGAAGTAGCAGAAAGCAAGAACAAGAAAAGAAAAGAAAAAACAGGCAATATGAAATTATATGAAAGGGTAAAGAAACAAAAGGGGTACCGTATACCGGTATATATATGTTGTTTTTTTCACTGAAACAGAACTTGATAAATATTGGAAACTAGCATTAGAAGAGGAAGATTGCCCCCATTGGCCTCTTGTATTCCTATTTAATATTTCATTTATAAATCAAAAGGCAAATTTTTCAAAATTCAAAATTATAAGTGTACACTTATAATTACCAAATATATGTATTCATTTATATATTTTTAGCGTCACCAGTAGGAGGGGGATGAATAGCAAATTCGTTGTATATTAGGCTTGCAGTTAACGAAAAATATATGCAATAAATGTGTCCTCACCAATAGCAGTGGTTTGTCAGCACCTTGGGCAAGTGAATACACATCCTTTTTGCGGAAAATATTGAACTGTTTCATGTGTCCTGAAACATGTCTTGCTGCGAAACTGGCAGCAGCTCAGGTCACACTTATCCCACATCAACCTTAAAGGAGTTTGTCCTGTAACCTGTGCCAGCTGTCTAGAGGTAGATCGATGAGAGTTTAGAGTTGGCAAGCACTTTCAGTCTCTCCTCTAAACCCAGATCAAAGAGACCTTGCTGGGTTAAAAACTGAAAATATATATGCAAATAAATCTGATTGAAATTATCTGTGCTGAGGCAAAAGAGGATTAACAAGTTGGATGTTGTATTGTGTTTTTGTTTTTTGTCTACTTTGGTACCTACCTTTTTGAGGACTGTACGAGCAACACTGTGTAACCTTTAGCCCCTAGGAGTGCTAGACCTGAAAGTTTCAGGTTTAGCTCCTCTGAAAGCAACTGGCAACTGCACTGTGGCAATGTTCAAATGTATCAGGAATCTATTAGAAGACCACTGTGGGCTAGCAGATGGTGACAAAGAAAATGCTACATTCACTCCACTAGATGAAAGCCTACATCAGAGAACCGGAGAACCAAAAGTTGCTCAGGATGACTGGATTCTCAGTCATCCAGGTCATAGTTATTCCAAAAAAGTTAAAAAGCAAAAAAGCCATGCATCTGTGGAAAGGTTGTTTGGTTTCTCCAATATAAAGATCAGAGCATTCCTCACTGCATCGAACTGCATACACCAATCCGCTCATATTTGGTCTGGGGGTTTTGACCTTAGGATGCACTAGTCTCTGTTTCAGGGTCTTGTTAGGTTTGAAATGTACAAAATCTGCATGGCCCAACACAGAAGAGTGACCTCCTGGGACAAGATTCTGCAGTACATCTTATGGACAAAGGACATTCTTTTGAGGACCAGAATGTTCACATTTTGGACAAAGAAAGTAGGTGGTTTGAGAGGGGCATAAGCCATCTATGTTAAAAAAAGGAAAATAAACCAAGGAAACAGAAAACCTTGCCTATTCAGCCAGGCCAACAATTCCCCTTAACGACACCCCTTTCAGAAACATAGACAAGTATGGGGCATTGCAGGCTAACAAAAGAAGCCAAAGGACTCCCATTCCAAAGGGGTGGACCATTTCGTCCATTTCAATTTGCATGTTTTCTAAGCAATAACAAGACTTTGTAGGGGCTACTGTATAAAGCCCCAAACTCAATGCTATTTCTGACATTTTGAAAAAGCTTCCTGGATGCGAAGCGAAACTTCTTTCAACTTGGACACAAAGTCCAGTGGATTGTTTTTGAACTTTTTTGGAGTAGCTTAGGATGTGCCCCAATTCAGAGGCTGCATCTTCTGAAGAACACATTTGTGGACCAATTAGGTCAGAGTACTGCGCCAAAGGCTTCCCCACTCCAAAAATCCTCCTTTCTTTAAATGCTGCCAACGAATGCATCCTTTATGGCCCATCATTTCGGGTTGAAGTGAATTGGTCAAGTCCGTGCAGCAATGGACAACGGTGGTAAATATTATGAATACAACTGAAATAATAGGATTCCTAATATCAACAATAAACCTCTAAGACAGGCCTTCCCAAACTCGGTCCTCAAGGCCCCCTGTCCTGCAGGTTTTAGAGGTTTCTCTGCTTCAGCACAGCTGGTTATAATGATTGCAGTAGACCAAAAGCCTGTTAATCAGCTTTCAATTAAAATCAGCTGTGCTGGAGCAAGGAAACCTCTAAAACCTGCAGGACAGGGGGCCTTGAGGACCGAGTTTGGGGATGCCTGCTCTAAGATGTTTAAAGGTAAGAATATAGTTTTTTTAAAACACAAACTTATACTCGCTTTATTAAGATCCCTCTAACTTTAAAAAATTAGTTTCTGGATCTCTCAGCTCCAGCTCACCTTGGCAGCTGTCAGCCAACCAGGTTTTCCCTCTCTATCCAGGAGAATACGCCGGCTCACCACGTTGAACCTACTGCCGGGTTAAAATGCTGGGTGGAAGTTAATCACATAACTCATTCAGATAATATTCAAATATTTGGCTTTTTAAAAACTGTATTTTTTATTCAGTAAATCTTGGCTGAAATTAAAGTTGAGCTTCAAAATAAGGTAAATTTATTTAACTCTGCTGGAGCTATATTGGCAGCTTAATAACTACCGTAGCTCATCTTCACACGCCTGCAGCCATGGCACATCTGCTGCCGTTCCTCATAGATTAAATAAACAAAAATCTGAGCAAATAGCTGAGATCCAGACAAAAATATTTAATAAATCCTCAATAATGTGGATTGAAAAATTAACGTTATGTTCATAAATCTGATTGTAGTTGTCAAGTCCTTTCTACACAAATGTTAATTATTTCATAATTCCAAACCACTTTTTTTATTTTATTTTTTCCGTGGAGCATTGTTTTTCTTCAGCACTTCAAAACATAGAATGCTGAAATATCCTGTTTGATTTTTGACATGTCACATTAATAGTGAATATTCCTGTCCCTCATCTTTATCTAAATAATAACATATGTATAGATCTGAGCCTCATACTGTCACGGTTGCTAGGTGGCCAAAGCTATGCTGGGATAAGGGTGGGACGGCTGCTGAAGTCTGGACCTTCCCAATTCACAGCTTGTCACTTTCAGCTTTCATTGTTTGTTAGGTATTTGGAAGATCTAATCTGCACGTAGGCCAGGTCTAAGTGCACCCTGTAAATTAGAACCCACCCTCAGACTGCATTAAAGCTGTGCTCTGGGTTACATTACTCTTTGAGGGATGGATACAACCCTATTAAGTCATATAGACAAGATTTTTGAAAGGGCAAACCAGAAGGATCCTCTATATGAGCCAAGGGCTGTACATTGACTTTAAAAATGATTTTATATATTTCAAATCATGGTAATACTAGGGCTTTTGTACTGATTGAGCATCGCTTAAAGGCAACAGCCTCCCTAAAACTTAATGCTTACCACGACCCTCCATTAATCACTAGAGTATATCCATCTTCTGATAGCCAGTTTCAGCAGTATCATATACTGGTCTATAAGCTAAAATTATATCACATTGTTTTTATGAACATGGCATTAAACTATCCTTCAATAACCTCTACAGACCCCACAGCTTTATCCTAATAACATGTCTGTCAGATTACAATTTCAGAGGAATTCTACCCTGAGGCCTGGTTGAATATAAACCAGAATTATGCTCTACTAAAATTTGAATGGAGGTCCAGCACGGTACTAACAATGTGTATCTACTTAAATAAAGAATGAATGCAAAAATGTCCTAAATTGGTTGAATATGTAGCCTCGGATTTTCAAATGTGAGAAAAGTTCTCTGGGAGGAGCCACACCTCTCACATCAGATTATCTCACATTAAATCAGTTTTATTGGGGTACTAAAATGTGTAGGACTATTGGCCCTGAAAGTGGCTCTGTCTTGAGGAGTTATGACACATTTTGTTTTTTTATAGCAAGTTTTAGAGGATTCTTTAGATGGGCAGGTTGTACGGAGCTGGATACTGAAAGCTATCTTAACTGATTATCACATCAATTGATATATTACTTCCATTGTTATTCACTTCTGCTTACCTTTTTAATTTAGTTGAACAGGGTTAGAAAAATATTTATACCATCAGGTCTTCTTTAGAAATTCTTTAGAAAGAAAACTGATCAAACATAATATTGCTTGTTTTTAACCTGCTATAGTGTGAATATACCAGCCTTTTTACCCTTTTTAACCTTAGTTACTAATTAACTGTACTTAAATATCTGCTTGTCCATTGCTTTTATCAGTGGTTAAAAAAAAAAAAAACATTTTTAAAACGAATCCTCTCAACCAGATGGAAAACAAAAAGGTAAACCTCTATGCTTTCAGGATAATGCAGATGTCAAAACTAATGAGAGTAATTTATTGCCCTAAAAGTCCATTCACTTGTTTGTAGTAACAAAAGAAAACTATAAGGACTTCTGCGACCCTTTCATACAAAAGTGAAGTGATTAACACCAACCCTTCCTCTACTCTACCCTCTCAAAGCAGCCCTCTTCCTCTGTCTCTTTTTGTGCACTCCAGCCTCCCAGTGCTGCCAAGGCAGTGCCTGGCAGGCTCCTGTGCTCGTGGCGCATTAGGATGCAAAGCGCTCCATGTCGAGGGAGAAGGGGAGACTAACAAAAGCGCTTTAGTGTTGCAAAAACAAGCCCATTGGTGCATGCCTGTGAAAAGATCTGTGCGTCTGCTCTTACTCCCCTAACTCCCCCCAGCTCTCTGCATCACTCTACCACCCCTTCTGCAGAGAAGAAGCTCTCGGGGGAGATGCATCCATTTCTCGTAGTTCTCACTCTTCTTTTTCTGTGTCTCATGCGGCAGGTCCAAATTGCTTTGCCGGAACGACGATCATCCCAGCCGGAATTGAAGTAAAGGTGGACGACTGCACCATCTGCCGCTGCCACAACGGAGACTGGTGGAAGCCAGCACAGTGCTTGCGGCGGGAGTGCCTCAACGGCCAGTCGTTGTCATAAAGAGAGGCTCCACTGCAGATGGTGGATAAACTCAGGCAAGGCTCTGCCTACTGGGCTATTTTAAGTGATTGACAGGGCATGAGCACAATTCCTACAAAATAAAGAACAAAAGAAGTTAAAGGAAAAGCAGAGGTGACGTAGAAATGAAGAGACGCTCTCACAAGCTTCATACAAATACAGTATACTAGCCAGTGAGAAGATGATGGAACTTATCTCACGGCTGTTTCCGCCCTGCAGTTTTACTCGGCCTATATATTTGCAAAAGTTGACTCTGCTGCTTTCTCCCAGAAAGTTTCTAAGCTTCTTGAACTCTTTCCTAACCACTGGCAATGGTGAACTGCTCATGTCAAGTTTCTGTATGTATGTCTTCAGCTTGTTACTACGCGTTCTTCACGACCACGCTGGTGTTGTAAAGATCAAACAGCAGGAAAAAAAAGAGAAAAATTGAAAGCACACTTTACTGCGCTTTTTTTGTGTTTTCCTGGTCATACTAGGATTACCACTGCAGATAAGCTTAAATTCCCCACTACCCTCTAAGAGCTTGTTTACAAAATGCACATTGTTTGTCTTCATAAGACTTTTTAAATGGATGTGGCTGTTGCTCACCTCTACCCAATGAGTGTCATGTTTTATAAACTGCAATGCATCTGACAAGGCTGCTTTTTTTTTTTGGTATGCCATTGTTTTGTGTTGTGTCTCTGTTTAAAAGCAGCACAAACTGAAGCTTTCGGTATTACTGTGTGTAGCTGAGAAGGAAGCAGGATGTTAACCCATGTAGCCCTTTGAATGAGCAGGAAATACAGGAAAAACAAATCTTCTGTCTGACCAAATGTCTTTATTGTTTTTTGTTTTTTTTTTGTTTTAAGGTCCAGATCCTTCACTAACTAACTGCTTGAACTTGTTATCAAAGCACTTAGGAAGCCAAGAGCAGCCCGTTTTAATTTTCCTTAATCAGGAGTATTCTGTAATAAATCATCCAGCTGGGTACTTGGCGCAGCCTTCTTGCTGGGCACATCTAGCATGAACCGGCACACAAAGGAGAGGGGGGTCTGCACATGGCTAAGTGGTTTTAGGCAGCATTCACAAGTGTAATGTCCATGTGATGATTTGGTCTTGCCATTCATCCACTATTCATGCACAGTGTGTTGAACTGCATTCACTGAAGCACATAAACCTCATACATAAGTCTTTAACATACAGAGCTCTGACATGTAGCACTGAATATTTAACCGATTTTCATTTCAGTCTTTCTTGAAAACACCACACTGTCTCAGCCAGTATGAAGCAAATATATGATCATGACTATAACATACAGCTGTGCTAATGTATTACACTGGTCGTCAGGCGATCCACTCTGAGAGAGGAAGCACCCTACCCGGCACCATAAACATGAAATTTTTCACATGATAAATATTACTCATTAATCCGGAGGTGAATTTCCGTAAGCAGACTCCATTCATCACTAAGATTTTTTTTCCCCCTCCATTTTAAGAAAATCTGTTTCCGTTAACCTTTTAAACCCCATTCCTCTACAGTGATGGATGAGTTGCTTAATAGCAGCTTCTAGCCCTCTGTAATGAGACAGAAATGAACAGAGGATTAAAGACCTGTGACTAAAGAGGTGTATCACCTTAAAAGGCATTAAAAGTAATTTTAGAAGTATCCCACACTCTAGAAATCTGCTGCATGACTTGAATAAGGACACTGGATAAAATTGGGCAAAGATTGTTCTTTAAAAGGTAGTTTGGAATCTCTGTGGTCTTTTCTATAGTGTATAACTCTCTTAGCATTTTAAGTTTAGAAGAGGCAAAGCAAGTTTATTTATATAGTGCATTCAGTGGCAAGACAATTCAAATTCATGTACATGATTGGACAACACACAAAGGAAAATTAAATTGCGATATAACATAAAAAAAGTAATAAAATGAAAGAATGTTGGTTTAAAAACTTAAATGTTTAGCTAGAAACAGGTTAAGGGCACTAACGAAATAAGTATTTAATATGGATTTAAGGCAAATTAGGTTTTAAAGCACTTTTACAATTTTGTGGGATTTTGTTCCAGATTAGCGAAGTTTAAGAACTATAAGCTGCTTTTCCATGCTTGGCTCTGGTTCTGGGAAGACCTGAGGGTTTGGTTGGTTGATACGTTGACGACAAATCTCTAATATATTTTGGTGGTAAGCCGTTGAGTGATTTATAGAGAGAAGTATTACAGTTTATTCTCTGAGATATGGGGAGCAGCTGTAAGGACATTGGAACTTTGGAGATTTGCTCCACTTTCTTAGTTTTAGTGAAGAGGCAGGCATACAGCATCCAGGGATGTCTACAGCTGTCTGATCATTTTTTTCCACCAGTAATCAAGCCTACTAAAGATGGACACATTAGTTTTTCAAAGGTTATTAGTCCTGTGCACAAAGAAATGCTGTAAATTTAGTATAAACCCAGATTATTTACTCCCAAAGGCTGAAGCTAACAAGAGACCCAAGACTGAATCTTACTTCTACCTTCTTAAACGATTATGTTCTCAAAAAAGTCATTGTGGTTTATAAAAGTTGCGAAGAGAAAACCTCTTAGAACCCAATATTCAGCCAGACAAGGTGTGATATAATCAGAAATGCTTAAAGGAAGACAGGTGGCAGGCTTAAACACGCAGATGAGGACAGAATCAGCATGTAAGAAATTGATGAAGGCAGACAGACTGATAGCAGCCTTTGAGCATGTAAACAGTAAATGGAAAGTGTCTTCAACTAGTGTGAATAAATGAAATGAGATTTTAACAATAAAGTTACATTTTATTTTTAACCTTATGTGGAGAAAATAAAAATAACTTTAAAGAAATTTAAAAACAATGGAATTAAGTTACAGTTAAACAACAAAAATGACCTACTGGCACTGTACACATATTTTTGAAAAGGAATCAATTGCACAGAAGTATTATATAAAGATAAAAAAAGAGATCTAAAATCCCAACAAGTCACATTATCATGCTAAAACTATGCAGATTGTATAAGCTGCTAAGGTTGAGCAAAAATAGATTTAGGATAACAAAAATTCATCACAAGACCCTGGATGGTTAATATGATGACTCCATCCCCTCCCACAGCTCTGATTCATCTTACAGAACCAACCAAAAAATATAGCCTCAGCAACCCACAACAATACCTGCAACATATCAAACAAACCATTGTATGCACTTCTTTCTTCTTTTTTCTTGAGGTAATTATGTCCTCGCTGATGTAGAATTCCTCAAACTGTAGCACAATGGATTGATAAAGTAATTTCATCATCTTAAATTGCACTTCTTTGTTTTAAGGTGTCATTATTGTTACTACAATGTCTACCATGTAAGATTATTCACAAATATAAACCTCCAATTAACTAGTTTGTCGGTAAACCATTCTTCTAAATTTCCCAAAATGAGAGATGCTTAAAGCACTGAATGTTTGCATGTTGGAATCTGAACTGAACAAACACAACTGCCTATATGAAGGCCTAATTGATATGCCCCAAAAGGGGAGAGTGACATAATAAAGAGAAAGCACAGAATTTTAAATACAAACATTTATCCAACATTATGCCTGTCGCTGTCTGCGGAGACAGAGTTGCCCCAAAAAAGTGCTTCAAGTTCTCATTCTGTTCGCATCTACATACCTATGAGAATAAGGTTTGACTGTGTTAACATGGATTATAAACAAGTAATTGTCAAGCCTGCAGGTAAAGGATGATATGTTTATTACTATCAACTGGCCGCATAAGGGACCTGTGCATCTCAGAGAAGCAGATTAATTTCTCCCACCAATGGGCTCTATGCACAGCTCCACTACTTCCTCAACTTCAACTGCTTCTTTGCGTATTGGACAAGCTGATAAATCTATATGTGTCTGGCTGGTTACTGGGGTCAGTTATGGGGTTATTCTGATATAGTCTCATCATACATAATACTGTTATTAGGTTTTTAGTTTAGGTTTTATTTTCTCATCTGATTAAATACTTAAAGTTCTAATTAACATGTTATTTGTAACTACAAGCAAAAACAACCTAATACATTTATATTAAACTGGTGGTTATTTCTTACTCCATCATTCTCAGATCATGCAAATCTTGTCTAATCTTGTCAATCAGTTCTAAAACATCTTTAGCTGAGCCCTTGTTGATCCCTGGTGAACCACTGTACCAGATTAGTACCTTAGTTGGACTTTTCATTCATTCTATTACCAGTGTCTTTTACTCAAGCCAACTGCAACCTGAGATCTTGCCGTACTTTTTGTTGATTAGCTTGGCTTATGTTTCATTTTGGGTCCTCATCTTTAGTAAAACAAAACATAAAAGCCTTATTTTTTTCTTTTTACCTTGGCACAAACCAAGCATTTATCAAAAGAATCAAACCGATCCAAATTACATGAAACAATTAACACACTTACCATAACACAGGGCAGCTCCCCATCATTTGAGACTAGACGTGACAAAGAACTTCCCCTTCTTCCTCAATTTGAAATGTGGTGCACTTTGTTCTTCATCTTTACGTTAACTGTTAATTAACAATAATTTCTTTTTGTATACAAGAAGTAGTTAATGTTAATTACCCCTCATTCATAAAAACTGTCTGGGAAAATTCCAGGTACAGCTTTAGACTGGGAAAGGTTTTCTAAAACAGAGACTGCCCTCAGAAGTAAGGGATGTCTGGTCACCGTAATCTTTTAGCTGCTCTGATTTAGCATCTTTCTTTGTGCACAGGCAGAGCCCATCCATCTGGGTAGAGGTGTGCAGGCTCATAAAGCAAAACTGACAACAATGGTTTATCAGCTGCAGCCTCTGTACTCCAGACATTTCAAAATAATCAAAGGAGATTCATTCATCATAATTACTTTAAATGCCATCTAGTTATTCAGCTTAGAGAAGTATCCAAGGTGGGGAGAAAACAATTCAAATCTAAGACTGTGATGGACCGAGTTAAAAAAACAGGAGGAGTCACAGGATATTAATTAGAAAAATAGGTTTTTTTTATTTTAACCCAAAAAATAGATGACAAAAGATAAACTGAGCTCATAAAAGAGGTCAAAGAAACAAAACTGAACTCAGGCAAAAATGTAAACAAACTGGCTGTACAAACAAACATAACTGACCTACAAAGAAATGACAGACAGGGGTATATATACTGGCTGATCAGACCAATTTAGACACAATAGGGGTAACTAAACAGAATACAATTACAAACAAAACAAATAACAGTACAGCTAAGTTTGACTAAACTAAAGACTCACAAAATGAAAATCAAAACCATTAAAGTCAAAATACCAATATTCACCTAAATGCAAAAACTCATCTAAAGAAAGAAACTACACATTCCCCCGCCAGCAAGGACCAGTGGTGCAGTCCAATCAGCATCCAAATTTGCTGAGCCCTGGCCCCCCCATCTTTTGTCAACTTCAGAGTGTGGCCATGGATTTGGCCATCACACACTCCCCCACTTCCTGATCTTCCCTCTGGCTCCGAGAAAGGTAATCAGCAGTGGTGTTGTCCTTGCCGGGGATGTAGTGAACCTTAAACCGAAATGGCTGCATAGCAAGGTACCATCTGGTGATTCTCCCATTAGTTTCCTTCATTCTTTCTAGCCACTGGAGGGCTCTGTGATCAGTCTGAAGTGTGAATTCTCTTCCTAGCAAATAATATTTGAATGAGTCAAGGGCCCATTTAATAGCCAAGGCTTCCTTCTCCACGGTTGCATAGCGCCCCTCTCTTGGCAGCAGCTTGCGGCTGATGTAGGCAACTGGATGTTGGTCCTCCGGTGGTCCCTGCAGAACCACTGCCCAAAGGCCTCTTTCAGAAGCATCAGTCTGCAACACAAAGTCTTTTGCAAAATCAGGTGAGTGCAAAACTGGATTCTTACTCAGAGATTGGCTAATGTCCTTAAATGCTGCAATAGCCTCTGCTGTCCACTGAATTTTAGTGGAACTTCTGGAGCCCGTCATGTCTGTTAGGAATGCTGCTCTAGCTGAAAAATTAGGAATGAATCTGTGGTAGAATGCAGCCATGCCAAGAAAAGACCGCAGCTGTTTCCTGGTTTGTGGGAGCGGACAGGATGCTATCGCATTGATTTTATCAACTTGAGGTTTCAGAGTACCACCTCCAATGGTGTACCCCAAGTACTGTATTTCTGTCCTGGCAAGAGCCGAAACTGGTGTTGCAAGCTCCTAAAGCGCTGTTCTTGTTGTGCAGAAACTCCTATCTGCTTTTTCTCCCGAACTTCCTGTTGTCCCATGAAAGCCCGAAGAATCCCAGCAATATCATGCAGAGTTGGCTCTCTGGGCTCCTCCTCATCAGTGGCTTCAGCTGCTGCTGCTGAAGCTCCTCCTTCCATTTCCTCCCTCTCTGATTGCTGGGAAGCCTCTTTGGTCTCAACCTTATTTCCTTTTCTTGGGCGCAGACCGTTCTGCATGGCTCAAAAAGTTTGTTGGTGGGGGAAAAATTGCTCACACAAAAAAAAAAAAAACAGAAAAGAAAAATAATCCTGGCTCCTCAACTCAAAATCCTCACTTCTGACACCACATGTGATGGACCGAGTTAAAAAAACAGGAGGAGTCACAGGATATTAATTAGAAAAATAGGGTTTTTTATTTTAACCCAAAAAATAGATGACAAAAGATAAACTGAGCTCATAAAAGAGGTCAAAGAAACAAAACTGAACTCAGGCAAAAATGTAAACAAACTGGCTGTACAAACAAACATAACTGACCTACAAAGAAATGACAGACAGGGGTATATATACTGGCTGATCAGACCAATTTAGACACAATAGGGGTAACTAAACAGAATACAATTACAAACAAAACAAATAACAGTACAGCTAAGTTTGACTAAACTAAAGACTCACAAAATGAAAATCAAAACCATTAAAGTCAAAATACCAATATTCACCTAAATGCAAAAACTCATCTAAAGAAAGAAACTACACATTCCCCCGCCAGCAAGGACCAGTGGTGCAGTCCAATCAGCATCCAAATTTGCTGAGCCCTGGCCCCCCCATCTTTTGTCAACTTCAGAGTGTGGCCATGGATTTGGCCATCACAAAGACGAAGGAAGAGAGAGAAAGAGTGCCAGTTGACAAGAACAGAGACTGTATGGACAGGACTCAAAGGCAAAGTTGCCACCACAGATGCCTTATTGCTACTATTCCAGATAAGATTAACAAAATATGGCCTTTTGCATTCACACTGATTGAACATCCCTAAACTGCTTTAAGTGCCGACTTGTAATACCCCTGCTCGAGGTGATTTACTGTTATATTTTACCCAGAAAACTATGTTTTATTTTATTCTCAACGTTCTAGAAACACCCAGTGGGTTCAAGACAAGTACAAGGACACGAGCAGTTCATCTACGGTTGAAACTGAAGAGACTCGATCTAAAAATATACAGGTGTTTGATAAAGGTAAAAAAGACAAAGAGAAGATACAAAAAGGGTGGATACGTGTCGCACTAGAGCTACTTGATCCCTATTGAAATGTGACATTGCAGCTCATTGTACTGCTGTTCCCACCAATGTATTTCAAATGCCTCTGAAGTGCTCAGCTTTTAACAATCTAAATTGAATGAACAATGGCTTCCCATTTTCTTAATTTGGTGAGCTGCTCTTATTGCCTGAGCTGGAAAGTAGAGCAGCAGAAGGTAAAGCGGTTGTAGACACAAAGTTAAACAGCCTAGATTTCAGATCAAGCGTAGCTGCAAATGTTTGGAAAGAGTTCCTATGTGGGTTGCACTTGAAGCAGGAATCAAACAGGAAACCACATATTAATATTTAGATTTATGTTTTATTGCAGTAGATTCAATGCAGACATAAAGCAGAAAGGCATTCTTTGTGCTTCAGGTACGCTCACTCATTAGACAGATTAGCCCAGTGACTTTCTTAGTGAAACAACATGGTTTAACATACAGCTTTGGGCTTTTGTCTGAAAAAGGAGGCTACCTTTAAAAATAAATGAATAAACAAGCAGCATACATCTGCAATTCATCCAGTCTCTCCCTGAGAAAACCAGAGGAAATTACTTTTTTTACCTTGAAAGTAAGTGGAAGGGCAGATCAGTTGCTCAGTCTGGCTGTGTTAACTTTCTGCTAAGAAACTAGATTTTTTTT